ACAATGTGTCCTGAAAGTCCGTGCGTCCATGTTTTCGGAGCTAAGGAGGAACCACCGGGCAGCCGTTAGTAAATCCTTCAGTACTGCAACTGACGGCGTAGGTGAGAGACAAAGATGATTTCACGTGACCCATCAGCTTCAAACAGTCTATCTGTTAGTAAGGTCTATTGCATTACACCTAAGTCTCGTGTTCTGTTAAACATAAGATACAACAGGTGTTGTGTAAACAAGCCTCTGTGGCACTGTAGCCGCCAGAGTGCCCCCAGTTAAAGTTGAGCATTCTTCGTAGTTTTCCAGCCACCTGCCACATGGTGATAATTCGATATCACAACTTATATCTCCCTCTTATTTCAAGACATGGATGGCCAAATGAAAAATCCACGCGAAGAACTGCACGTGCCTCCCGGCAGGACATATGTTCTCATCAAAACTGCCAATACCACCCAACTTTTTATGTCGCCAATTTCGGGTCTTTTTCTCGGTAGAGATGGACGGGCGCGCCCCAGTCAACTAATTAGGCCGCGTGTTGGCCGTGCGCGTCAGCTTGGTTCGTTCAGCTGTCCGCTATGGTTGACGTAGGTTACATCATGGTAAATGATCAACGTCATGGTCTTTCTAGCATAATCACCAGGCTGTGGCGGAACATCATGCTGTTTGACAACAAACCTGTACAACTTTTTGCCAATAATGAACGCGGCTTAAGCAATTTTGACTGGCGAAAGAAATTATCGAGCAAAAATTGCTTATAGGAGTGGCACCTCAGCGTGTCTTGTATCCACTAGGGTCATGTGGATTCTAGAATGTTCGGGGGGTTATTTCAGCCGTTAAAAGATCTGAAAATTTCGTTCATTAATTGAGTCACCCCTTACACAATTCGCGATTTCCCGTTACACTGGGTAGCGTATGCAGTCAGTGGTGTTAAATGACCTTGGAGATTCGCACATTTAAACAATGCACCAATGTGGATAATTTGCATAACGGTTGGGGCTGATGACGACTGTTGTTCGGTCAGATGGACGCATTGGCTGCTCTGTTATCCGGTATTCACGTTACTCTTGTGCTTTGTCATTTACGGGGCCAAAAAACTGTGCCACCGCCGTTCGTCCAGTTCTAGGACTACAGAAAGCAACGCCGCATATTCATACGATAGATGTCTATGGTCTGAACAAAAACAAAAGCTCACTTAGTTCTCTTTGGCACTCACTTTTGTTTGGATCATCTGGCTCAAGAGCATCATAGATAAGGGCTGAGATGCAACTGACTATACTGCTTACCCTAGCGTACTCCACGAATACTAGCAATTCTCACTGTCTAACCATCTGCCTGCCATTTTAAAGGACTTTTTGGGGTAGGTCGTTAGTATTCCTTAATTACCTCAAGCTCTCAAGTATCTCCTAGATCTTTCAGATAAAACAAGCTCATACTAATCACCCGCGAGTGGTATCCTTTGGCTCAATGAGTTATGTGCGTTAATAATGGAATATGGGCTCAGGAGGTCAGTTCTGAAGGAGCTTTCGTTCCACATGCTAGTGGGTTTGAATGTAACTTTTAATACACCTTTCTTGAGCCGATCCACAACGTGCGCTCAAAATTTTTCGAAACCATATTTTGAACGGAGGAAATTTTCATACAGCGCTTTATCAACCGATGAATCAATTTGATAGCTGCAAACCATGTACTGTTGGTACGCAGGTTCCGGCTGCTATAGTTTCGACCATAAGAGAATAACGCAATATGGGACATACATCCAAGCCTTAAATGAGTGGCGTGTTCAGTTAGTTCGAGATCTGGACAGCTTCGCAGTGAAGACGACAGCTTTGGTGCGCGAGCGGCACTGACTGCACAGTCGGACCGTTTCGGTCGATGTCATTAACCAATGGTGAGCTCAGTCTAAAGGTCCTCGTCCGAGGAGGAGCAGTTGTAAAACCAACTCACTTCGGTGGTAAGCGCTTTCACACTTCGCTTCCGGGTTATACACCGCCCACTTCTTAGTCGCTTTCAGTAAGCATAGGACTGGGCAAAAAGAGCCCCTCGAAGTGGGCAGTGCTCTGGCGCGCGTCGTACATGTCCTAATAAGCATAATCTGTGAAGCGTGCATAATTTATCGGGGGAGATAATTCTCCCTAATGCCATTCGGCGCCCCTCAGCACAGCTCATTGGATGTTCTCACCAGACCTGACTAATGCTTCGAAGACAATGATGGTCAAGAACCGATATCCTGCATGTTTCCCCGTGCGTAGAGGCCATGATTCTGATCCACAAAGCAGTATGAATCGAGCTGTCGCAGACAGACACACTGGCGTCACGTGGGCACCAGAGGTGTCAGACTGTGGTGAAAACTTTCCTAGCTCTCCAGATTGGAGAAGTAATTTCATTACCAACCATCCGCTGGGAATTATCAAACTGTCCAGGTAAACGAATTTATCTACCACGTCTGTTGGCTCATCTGCGAGCATGAGACTTGGGTTGAGTCCCTCCCAGTATTGTAGCAGGTATAAAGCGAATACCCAACAGTGCGGCAGCCATACTGAGGTTATTTAAAATACTTTACATTTCCGAAAGCTCCGAGCAGTTGAGGGAACTATCATCCGCAAACACAGAGTGCTATTCTCGGGAGCATATCGCCCCCCCCCCCCCCGCNAAGCAGGCGGATAAAACAAAAGCAGAACAAAGTTGAGGAAGAAAGGTGAGGGAAAGTGGTCTTGTCTTACAGCACTGCATGTGGTTGATGCAGTCAGAAGCCTACCATGAGGGGAAGAAATGTGCTTGGTTAAGGTACCCCACCTAGACCCTTCGACTCAAAAGTCGGACCCACAAAGCAGTGGGAAGTTGTAGGCTTATGTTCACGGAACCTGCCCATAGGCTGACTCAAATTTCTCAGCCAAGAGGCAGCGGTTGTTATGGTTTTTAGAGGACGCTGCCACCGATTCACTGCTTTGACTCACTTGCCTGGAAGGGGCCACACTGACACGAACCTGCAGCTGCTAGAGCGCTATTGTTTGACTCCTAATTTGGCTGCGAATTGCGGGTCTCTTTTAAGCAGTCCCACACACTTCGGTTTTAAAAGTATTTTAACGGTATCGGGTAATGCGCCGGCGGTGACGGTCAACCACTGGGAAATAGGAGTGTACCGTTTTTTAGGGCCACCCTTTTTTAACCCTCCTGTCCTCCTCCGGGAGGGGACAGGCAAAATCGTTGCTTCCATATTGTATGCACATGCTGGTCATCTGGGGGAAAACGACTTACTTCTTTAACATTCCCATCACAGAGGACAGTGCGATTTACCTCCAGACCGCCTCGTAATACGATTATCTCAGGACAGCGACTCGCTGTTCTCCATCGTCGATATTTCCGGTATGGTTGAACCTATAGAAATTAGGTTACAGTTAGGATTATTGCATCACAGAATCCTGACCACCAAGACAAGGTGAGAGTTTTAGGTTAGGACATAATGTTTAAACGCTAAATTAGGAAGCTTATACTCTTCCCAGACAATCGCAGTTATGCTGAAATTTGTTTAAGCGTACTCAAGGTCTACTTCGAGCATGAAATTTGCTTTTATTGGCTGCCAGCGGTGCACCCACATTCCCTAATCTATTCACAGCTGAGGCGTCTCGCCTGGCAGATGGACACGCTCGCCCCCCACTGTCACTAGCTTCCCAATACGCTAAATCCACGCCCCGTTTTAAGTTTCTGACTACCCCCGATGCACATCCAAAATGTCCTGCTGACCCATTGGATAAATTTTCCTGCAATAAGTATCTGGACACAGTTAACGGCGCCACCGCTCAATGACAGTTTACTGTTTCCCGTCCAAATAAGAGCCAGCGGGCAAGCCTGTTCTCACTATATACTACGTTAGAAATGTAGAAATCCCCATTTCATTCTTCCAATAATTTTCACCTGATATTTGTCTTTCGCCACCCTAGGACTCAGCCGACAGCACAAATTATCACGGTCCATCATAGCCCCATCTGCCATACCAGTAATTAGTCTTTTGCGGAAAGCGTATAACCACTTCGCCTCCCTAGCCTTGGTAGCTGCTCCAAGTGGGGCTACGTGAACTCATGTACATTCACAGCGGCGTCCGCAGGGTGGCAATGAAAAGCCATCGCATATAGTACTGTGCTCATCGAAGCACAATTCCTACGATCTCACCTAATGGTTTTCGTTTTATCGTCTCCCCAGACCTCTTGATGCATTTCTGAATTCTTCACGAATTGTGGTCTCTGAAGATTCGAGTCTCCCACATTCTGATCATAGCGCTTTGGTAAACGGAGAAACTGGCTATCGATGGGTGAAAAACAACATCAACTGGCATATAGATCAAACAATATACTCGGGCACAGTATAACTCACATTCAGCCAATCTCACATGGTTCTGAATTGCTACCCTAAGGTTATACCATTGATCGATGCTGTTCAGTGGATACGTCGTTCATAGGCCAGCTTAATGACGCAGTCGTTCAGTCCAACAGGGAAACTGACCATGACGAGTCCGTCCTTTGGATCTCATGGGCTGGATAATGTAGGATATGAATCGAATGCATTCCTAACGGACATCACAGATGGAAGAAAGCTGCCAGGTGCGATAAAACGGAGGTGACACCCAAAGCGCAATCGGCGGCCCACATCACTACAACTTTTCAGGTATCGATACTACCCATACGCCATCTCGATGAAAGTCAAATATCTCAGTTATCCAGGCGCGTAAGGCGGAACCACAAGTGTCCTACTGATCCCAAAGCTGAACAACCAGGAATACGTTAAAATGAAGCGCTTTGAATGGTGATGGAATGTAGTAAACCCATTAATCCATGATGCGCGAGAGGACAGATGAACAAGCAAGTTATAAAAACTATCGACCTTACCAAACAGAGTTTAGTTAACAGTCACTCTTGACGCTTCAAAACCTACAAATTACACATGCTACTTAATCCACGTGACTGCGCGCTTTGCAGTCCCAAGACCAACCAATGAGGATTAGTACGAAACACTTTATGCAAGTAGACATGATAAATCAAAGTTAGACTCCTCACAGTACACAAAGATGCGAAAAATTATCACAATATGGACACAAGTGGATAAGTTAGTTCTCGTTGAACACAGCCGTTAGGTTAAGAAAGCATAAAATCAATTTCATTTTTCAGAGTATCTTTCAGTTTTCCAGCCAACGCAGAGTAGTAACTCGCTGACCCCCGATGACCAAGTTTGATAAGAATTTTGCAGAATTCCATAAAAATAGCAGAGTACAAGTGATCTGCGAGGAATGAAAGCAAACGGATAAATATACTGAATTGGGTAACTGAGAAAAGATTTAAGAGAGATTTAGACAAGGCATAGGTCCCAGCAAAAGCGGTCACAGCAACACGCTGCGACTATACCTTCATACTTGGCCAACATGGTCGGAATAAGAAAGGCAATGTACTGCGAAAACCTCACCAACACAGAACATCGTTACGCGTTTCTAAAGCTTACACTTTTATGCTGAAAGAGGTGTAGGCCACTGAGATCGGGCCGCTTCGTTCATAATCATATATTGGTACAAATATAACAACTCCCGCGAATAAGCAGCACTGGGAATTTGGAGGCATTTCTGAACTTTACATGGGCTTGTTGCTGAATTTCCATAGGTAGGGACATCCTGCTGAATCGTCATCGTTATCAGCTGCAAAAACCGCGTACTTATCGTGCAGTGATTGTGGCCGAATCGGAGCCAAAAACAGAAACAGAACAAAATGTTCGGCTTCTGTTTTCCGGACACACAAGCCCAAAAATGTGACTACTCTGGACTCAAAGACACTAACCTTATGATTTCTGAAGGCTTCCGTGAGGCGATAGAAGACTACCCCAACAAAAACACGTGCCTCGTCAAAATAGGACATTGCAAAACAATAGCGGGTGGATAAAGCTCATACTTATAACAGACACCAGGAAGAATGCCATCATACACTCATTGAAAGGCGAGGCTTTGCACGATACAAATGCTTGCAATGGGCGAGGATAAATGCGGAAACCTACATAAGGGAATGTAGGAAACTTCCTCTGTACGCAATTCAGAAACGGAAGTCTATGGCACAACATCAGGTGATGGATTTAAGAAGTGAAATGAGATAAAGACTTCACAGTTTTCAGGTCTCCCGTCCCGTTACACAATTAGCGGACAACCATAATTCGCTGAAACAAGTAAAGTACTCGTCGATAGAATTAGTTAGTGAGAGCAATGACGGCAATTCACTTAGATGGACCTGTGAGGTGTACATTACGGAATACACCAAGCACAAGGTATTTGGCGGCGGACAAAGTAATTCCTCGAAGTGTGCTCCGAACACTCATTAAATGTGCCAGGTTTTCAAAAATGAGGCACATTTAACACTAAATCCAATGCAAATATGAAGCAGCAAATTATCTAGATTACAAACGTATTCGTGATTGCGTAAGAGGTGAGACCTATCCTGAACATCCCCGTGCTTGATAACGTCGGTTGCTTGGAAGAAATTCATTGGGTACCGTAGGGTACCCCAGTGCATAGCCACGAAACCTCTAAAAAAGGAGACTCCGCGCTTACAGGTGTTTTGGTCCTCCAGCTGAGTGCCTTTTACTAAGGGGTTTTACGGCAACCTGTGTCAGCAGAATACCCCGGTTCTTAGAATTCATAACGCACACCATATATCTGAAGTTATCAACGGGTTTCCGGAATACCCTGAATCTACCCATTAGAACTTCATAAACACATCCGGCTGGTAACAATTTCTTGTTGGAATCATAGGTGTTCGTTGTAACGGAAATTTGTTGTAATGGGAATCCAAATATACACTTTTGATGCACAAGCGGAGGCTGAAAAATCTATCTGTGGTAATGGCGCTGTGCCTTTCCGAGTGCCTTTGAATGTGGGCCGCTGTAACCACTGGTTTTTTCGAGGCAGATAAAGATCGATTGTCCTAAAGTGCAAAACGGTTGTACCAAGGATTTTAACGTTCATTAGATTAAGGGCGACTACGGAAAGATCGAGAAAAGATTGTAGCAGGATGGAGAATTGAGGATCCCCCACTTACCATTCTCTGTTGACCAACTCAACTTTCCCATTTGAAGACAGGCCTCCAGGTAACGAGCCGCCAACTGGAACTGATTTAGGCTGAACAACAGCTTCAACGCCATATTGTGTTCATCTAACAGAACGTAGATTAAAACCGCAAAGTCCTGAAAATATATGGAAGGGATAGGTGGTGAGATGAATAGAAGATAAATAATTTCACCACCTCGACATTCCAGCAAATTTACTCTAAAGGTGGGCAGGTTTGGTTGATCCCTACTCTGTTGAATCGAATTCTTAAAAGGCGTACGGGCGTAGGTGGCTGCGAACTTTTATTCCGATGGGATAGACCCCGTTCAACAGCTGACCTAGTTAAGGTTTCTGTAAACGAGGTCAGTAAGTAATATTTAGCGAAAGAGTTAGGAATACGACTTCAGGTGCCTATCACACTAATGCTCCAAATTTGCTTCGGATTGGTTTGTTGTCGTATACTGATGAACTTAAATGAAAAATTGCAGTGGGATAGCGATATGAGAAACCGCAAAGCAGTTTGTGTGGGAAAAACCGATTGAGGCGAATATCGAACTTACTTCTCCGAGAGAACATTATTTCAAAATGTACGATGACTGGCAACAAGGTAGCATGTCTTCAGCGAAGATGTCGGGCGAAGCACAGCCAAACAGCGGTTCAAAACCTCATAAGAGCTCTCAAACTATCCTTAAAGGAACACTAATGGTTGGTGGTATCGGTACACTTTCTGATGACCAGGATAATTAGGGTTAGCGCTATCATCCAAGTTAGCGAATTACAGGAATGCAAGTCCGGTCAGAACAGACCAGGTATTAGGGTTCTATGACAGCTTTGAGATGAAGTAAGTGGTTAGGTATCTTATAACATAAAGACATTCCCCCGTTATAAAACTGGATGTTCGGAAGCAACCTGGGCTAGATGAGAAGTCAAGTAATTTTGTTCACACTTCATATTATTTATATCCACATCGCTTACTGGAACAGCAGTCATCCTATCCTGGAACGATTGTTCCGGCTAGTTTACACAGAGAGGGGGTGCAGTGGCTTTCTCCGATTTGGTGTGGACTAACTGGAACAATCACACCCAAACAGGAGAGCATTTTACACGAGTGTGGTGCAGATAAACCTACTACAAATCCTCTATAAGCGATTTTTTAAAAATTTCTTGGAACTTCCGGATAAATTCCGAGAGCAGAACAACTTCGAATTCAGGTCAACTCACACGCTTCAGGAACAAACGACTAAGATTGTTAGCATTGACATGGTACGTCTTATTTAAGAGTGCATATGGGTTATCGACAAGCCAGCGGAAAAAAACAATATAAGTGCTGGATGTCGGTAAAACGGGGTACCACGAAAATACGTATTCGGGTTTGACAACCACCAAGTAGATACATGTAACTTGGCTCAACCACTAACAAGGTGGAGAATCAACTAATGGAAAGAAAAATGTGCGCCCGCTGTAGAAGCAGCAATGAGCAATATGATTTGCAATAGCTGGTCGGATGTAGTAACATCCAACCAAAATGGAAAATTATCATTATGCTACATAGCTCGGTAAAGAACAAATTGTAATCTGATTCCAGAGTCTGAGTTGTTATACCTTTCGGTTTACTTGTGGAGAAGACAAGTAGGCAGCATATCGGCGAAGCACCCTGTTAATTTCGACATCCGGTAGAGTACACTAGAAGAGAGAGAGGAATAATTTTTCATAAAAAAACAGTAAACGGATGAAAGAGTTAAACTGAGAGTAGACTGAGTGAAACAGAATCAATAAGGAGAAACAAGGATCTACTTATGATGATAATCCAAGCAATCAGACGTATAGAACCAAGCTCTGACCAAGAACCCAACAGCATTCGACGCACTAGGGCGTGCTTCTCGGTAAGTGTATCGCTCCTATCAGAACCACGAACTCGCGGTCTACCGCCAATGAGTTCAACCGATTATACACTTGGTGAAGCAGTTGCACCTGGCAACAACTGCAATACGACGGATCGCGTAACTCGAGGGCACGACCATCTGGTCAGAAAGAGGATGACAGTCAAAAGAGTCATACCTCCCCATCTCATATGAAACGGCTCTGAACTAAAGGGGCTTCATGACTGTATATGCCCGGTCCCAATTAATTCATAGATTTTTCGGCTAGACACTAGTGGATGACTACGCCATCAAGATAGACGTGCTAGTGATTCACCGAAACCGCCTGGAATGCTGATCAACTGAATGACGAGAAGGCGTGCTCAGGTAGTGGTGCCTATGGAATTAACAAAAGCGTTTCATTCGGACACAATCCGTATTCACCATGCGTGTGTAATGAGTGTTGGAGCAACGGCTGGAAGCTTGGAAGGCAGGAAATTCGGAGCACTAGCTCGACAAAACAGGAAAGACCAAACCGCTCGGCTGTTTCATCGGCTATGGCACGCGGCCGGCAATCCAAACGGAAGAAGTCGAACAATCAGGATTGGACTCCAACTACGGACCTCCCAATCATTAGCTCACGTTTGAAGTAACACAAGAACATCGTGTGACAAACACTAACAATCCAGACAAACAAGGAAAGTACAGCAAGTAGCTGGAGTGGTGGTTATAAATGAATGACCCAATTGTGACCAGGCCAACTTATCTGGATTAGTGTAAGTTTGTGGCGTAGCGTCTACAATTGTGTTTGAAGGACGACCAAACCACAAGCCTGTTCAACATACAGCTAGCTACTGAAGTAGAATACTCTAAAAACCGGGAAGATAAACCGGCTACTAATCAAATTACTTGCGTCAACTTCAGCCCGAATAGTTGCGTTCACACTGAATAAACCTATGTCTCAAACAGTAGTTGGTACCAGCACATCTCTATCCCACTGAAAAACTTGTCACTGTGACGAGTGAGGATAAGAAACAAAGTAAGCTATCGGGAAACAAGCTTACTTTGGCCAACCAAATGGACTGTTCCCATCGGTCGAAAGATTCCAGGTAGCGACAAGCATCCGAATACAGCCCAATCAAACAAAGTAACTCGATACCGGTATCGAGTTGGCCGTTGGACAACAAGTTTGTCGCAACCAGTTTAACCGTACTTAGGTAAGTATCCTCGGCAACCTGATTAGCACTGGGATTTTGAGGAGAAAGAAATTTGCCCGACAAGTTAGCGGCCAACAAACAGGCCCGGTGCATGTTCGCGCTGTAGTTGGGCGAATTCGGAGGGGTTTCCAAAAGCAGGGAGACAGCGCGCTCATGTTGACCTGGACAGATGAAAACAGACGGTAGCCTATAAGCCCAATTCCGAAATGTAGAGTACAGACAGTTTATGCTCATTTAAATCACACCAAAGAGTTAGTTTCTAAAATGCAGAGTGTCTTATCTCCCAGGTTGATTGAGCTGTCAAGAAATTGAGTGTCTTCAGACCGCGCTGAAATTAATACTCCAAGGGAGAGACTAAAGCCGAAGAAATAGTTCCAATATTTCTCTACTTTATGTGTCCAACTCGATCTCACATTTTTAGATTATTACAACACGTTTGTTTTTATTATCACCACAAACAGATGTGGGTTGCAAAAGAAGGAAACACCCACTGTCATGTCCTTGTAAAATTCTTAGGTACATCAAAAGCAGTTTGTTGAGATAGATGACACCTATGTTTTCAGAGTTTAGCCTCATAAAGAAATGGGGTCAGTTGTGAGAGAAATTCTATACGCTGAACAGTACTGGACGAAGCTGGAGAGAATGATGAGAGGAGCTACATCGTGATAGAATTTGTCTTGTGCCGGATGCTATTGCAGCACGTACTATGAACGTGTACCCGCTCAAAATGTCATTGTCCTTAAAAGTTCACTTTTTGTACGGCCTCACACTGACTCCTCTTATCTACAAGGTTTATTTTATAGCTGAAAATATTAAAGTATACAAAAAGATGACTGCACAAGTGACTCGAATTCCAATCCAATATTAACCAATATGAGTTTTATCAACCTATTAGCCTGAGTCGGACATGTGTGCACTTGAAAAAAATTGCGTACTTAAGAAAACAGTTTGAGAGGAGCAACTTAGGTGGTTGAAATTGCACATCTACGATAGCACAATCTACTCGCCAAACTTTTCACAGTCCATGGTGCAGAACGTTTTGAAACCGCAGACGACAAATATACGACAGCGGTAAAGCTGATGACGTATTTCACCCTCAAATGAACTGCCTTAGCAGCAACTCGAAAAATTGTTCAGCTGTAACACCCTTATAGTGCCTAGCTGTTATGCCACCTGAAGGAAACAAGAGGGCTAATATGCGGTCGGGTTACCCAAGCTTACACAAGAGCAGTTGAGATATCGGGGTTGGGGTCGAACCATGAACCAGTCAGTTAGTCCGTGTCTTGACTAGTGAAGTATCTCGAGCAACTGGAACATTGATTCATAGGCTTCGGGAGAGGCAACAGCATGAACACGTGGTAAGTCTCCACTGAAAAATTGACACAAAAAACGAGACTAAGGGACATACCGAGCAGTAAGAGATAGTGGATGCATTCATTTCGGTGCGCAACGGTACTCCTACTCGATTCGAGAAGGTTAAGTCGGGAGATCGCGGACGATTTGTAAAGGCTATGGTCGGCCAACAAGTCCCAAGATAAATCAAGGGCGTAGTGCGTGCGCTCGTCCCCTATGCCAGGAAGCATGCGACTTGCCACCATACGCCAAAATCGAATTTCGTAGGTATCACCGAATAACTGTGCCGTCCACAAGCACCGCTCGATAATTGTTGCAGATGGCCTTAAGAAAGCCTTTCGAAGTTCAGTCCTGGTAAGAAAAAACACACGACCGAAGAATGATGTCATGACCAAAGTGCAAAAACAGATGACTGTCGACCTGACGAGTGATATAGCCTGATAAGCCTAGAACAAATGTTCAGTATAGGAAGAAGGTGGAGTGAATTAGCTTATTTTAGTGAGTTTTTTAAGTGACTACTTCAGATATCGGAGCTGGGCTCATTGGTTGCCATGTCCCTGTAGTGACCAAAATATAATGCTACTCTGAAATCACGCCTGTGGATTTGGCCAATAATGGAATGGACCGGTCCGCCAGATATTTGAATCATACATGCACTCAGTCGAACTGGCTGTAGATCTCTTCGGTGCCCCACCACACGATAAAAGTATTGAAAAACCAGGAGAGATAACATCAACACTAGATAGAAAAATAGCTTAGTACGTGTATTTGGCACCAACGGTGTCACGCCCGTAACGTCTTAGTGTTCAGTTGTGCGGGCCGACAGAAACTAATCATGTTTCAAAAGATTCAGTAAACTAAGTCATATACTACCTAACAGACACGAAGATTTGGTGTTCACGTGAGTAGGAGGGTAAAATGCAACAATGATCTGTAAATGCAGTGAGACGCGCAATCCATGACAAGCCGTGCAATCACAGTGGCAAAGTAAGGGCCAAATACACAAACTCTCTCACTCCAGACAGACCCTGACACCAGCTTACGACTCGGGGGAAGTGTACACAACCCTTCAGAATGAACTACATTACAATAAGGAGTGAAAATAGGGTTCGTTGAGTTGATGAAATCAGTAGACCTATCGTCTCTGGTTACCGTTGACCAGAAAAGTACAGGATATGACAGCCATAAGAGACAGAACACGTACCTTTGAGCCAGACTGTGGAGAAAGGCATCAACGGATTCTCGCACCTTGTGAAATCCACGCGCCAACGGAGGGCACACAAGCTGAAGCGTGCTTTCCTTGAATTCACTGCGGTCATCCCCTGATGGAATATCTGCTTCTGTTATGCCCTCGAGTAGCTCATCTGCAGTTGGTGATCTCTGCTCTGACGATTTCGTCAACCACGGTTGGTTCTGTAGAAGGTGCCGAATCGTCAAAGCGATGGCGGAAGGTCGCATAGCAGGAACGAGAGAGGTATCTGAAAATCATGAGAATTAAACGGAGCAAACTGTTTTTGTCCGTGCGTGTGTTTGGAAAACAGAAATACAGGTATCTAACCGGAGCCCAGTCGGGCCGTAAAGAATTTGTCAGTCGAAAATATGCGACAATGGCGACTCGAACTTAAAAAAAACAAAGAGCATAAAGATTACAGAAAAAAGTGAACCATTAGACGCGTACCATCGGCGAATGAAAAGAAACATGTGGCCAAATGATGAAAAACTCCTAGAGTTGTGGATGTGTTAATTACCATTAGCATCCGGCAAGTCGGGGATCGCGCTACTTCCGAAGAATCGTGTACTCGGTAGTTCAGGGTTAAACGAGCTGGAATTGGCCGTTTCCGCTGGGGTCATCTCCACCGCAGTCGGACCAGCCTGAACCAACCGTAGTGCTCCATCTGCGCCAACGAGAAGACATATGGCAGGATTCGTCGGTCCAAAAACTGGGCAAGCCCAGTCGGCACTCACAACACAGCGTTGATCACGACCTCCAAAGCGGGCCATACATAACAAAGTCATCTGAGACAAGGAAGAGATAAGCACGGAGTCTTTTTAAACGGATAGCGTTGGTGGTTGCAGGATAGATATAGTGGAAAATAGCATTGTGAAGCAAGAGTATCATATGCGTACACCTTTCCCATATGATGAAGAGTTCGCTGAAGCCGTGGCTTACGAGTTTTTGAGAAGAGTGATGGCGGCTATATTTGTGCAAGTATATCCCCAAGTCGGATAAGCAATAAAAACTGAAGAGTGCAATTCATTTATGGAAGGGACGGTAGCCAGCTTAGCAACAAATACTAAAAATTGACTTACGATGCAAGATAGCATTAATACAACCACGTGATGTGATGGTCACATCATAGCAAGGTGAACAGTGTGCGCTAGTACGATGGATCACTACAAATGGATTAAATGTAACGATCAGCCTGACTGAAATCAGACTCAAGCAATCCAACATCCAACGGGACGATCGGTAGCATTGAGCCGTGATGCGTGACGGCAGACATCCGAAGCCCCTAAGTGACATCCACCAAATAGGTGATCCTACGGAACAAGCAGTCATGGTAAGTTATTTGTTGACATTTCAACAAGCTTGGGAACATTGGCACATGGGTGAGTGCACTTAGTTCCAAGACAGTTGTTTACAAGCAGTCCAAACTGATAAGATAATTAATAAATAATGGCTGACGAATGACAGGTCAAAGATGCCGATAGGCTACCAATCCTATGACTGAATGAAAAGTGGTCTAACCTAGCTTCTACCACAAATCTCACCTACAAAACGAATATGAGCCCACATGAGGTACATGCGTGATCAGTATCCGCCAGCTACAGAATCCAAGAGGCACGTGAGGTTTTAGGAAAGCAGACAGTAGAGTCAAATTTACCTGTTCCTGTAAAGTCATAATAGATGGAACGTACATTGAGACGTCAACCAATCTATCACGAATATTCAAACAAGCATCCACGTAAATGCACCCTACGGTAAGATCATATGAACAAAGTTCAGCAACCACATTGTTCAATTATGGAAGAAAAACAGCATCAAACCCTGGTATTGCGTGTAACCTGGATCTAGTGGGATGAAAAGGCTTGATGCAATAATAATAATAAAAATAATCAACAGGACAGAGAGAGCACATCATGGTTAGCTAACAGAGAACTATACAACGGTTGCGCAGAATAAATGGGCACCGGGACCTGCTAAAATGGACGAATTATTCTATAGGATAGCATAACATGACATGAAACTAGGCGAGGGGCATGCGAATTCTTGTCCTGGCACCTCCTCCTTCCCCCCAACTAATGTGTGCTCAGCTGATGAAAAGAATGCAAACCAGACGCAAGTATGTAGCGTGGGTGCCTACCAGCACTGGCAGCGCATTCATGTGAAATATCCATTCGCGGAGAACAAGAAGATCACGATCACACCTGAGTAAGACAATCAAATTCAGATAGAAGGTTGCACTTCAGACTCACTTCTCGTGGTTGCCAAATGTAAACTGAATCGTGCAGGAGTACGAGAAGTCGTGAATAGGTCGGTGACCCGTACAGGAATTTTAGCCTCCGAACACCAGTCGTGTGGCGGCTCGTTAGTGAGATTGCGGCAACAGAAGACTTCGGGTCTGTTATGCTAGCTTCTACGGGTGGACTTTCGGTGGTAGAAAACCAGCCATTTCCTGAAGTAACGCGAACCATAGTTTTCTTGTTGTGCAGATCCCGAACAACAACAAACCCATCAGATGTACCCAGAGCGATGAGATCAGCGAACCAAGCAACCGCACTCAAACGCTCCAAGCTTGATGCCGGCAAACCTTGTAAGCTATAGAAAATGAAAAACATTTACTACGATTAATCCTGGTAGCTAAAATCAACTTCAAAACAAGGCGAGCAATTTCCCTGAAATCAGTAAGCGAACTTCGGTGGAAGAGAGTAGGTCGTAATCAGTAACGAAACCATCCGGAAAACACCATATTTGGTCACAATGGAAAATGAGTAAGATACAATGGCTATGTTGTACTCTCTCACGAAAAAAAACACCTCTAAGACGTGTGTGATGCTGAATCCCTCCATTGCGACCGCGTTGAGTAGAGTAATTCGTGAAAGGAGAGACAAATTCTGGTGCCTGAAACAACTCATTAATCAACCGCACTCCAAAAAAGAAACGATGGTATGGAAATACATCGACTCATTGGTCCAGACTGAAGACTGCGCAACAAAAACGGTCGATGAGCCTAGCGGTTCCGCTTCTCTATCATACCCTCCCGAACCTGAGGTGACTCGCATTGGTCGATTGGTTGAAACAGCAGCATTTCGTACCATATTACACGTGCTGAAAAATGAAGCGCAGAGGTGCACGCAACCCACCATTCATTAAAGTCCCAATAATCTTACATGCTTTGTCGTAATGTTCTTGAACTCTGACAGATTCATTCTCCCCTGTCCGACCTCACTGGCGCCACCTCCTCTGCATGCCTCATGACTGGGACTGACTAACAATGATAGATGTCTCACTCCTTTCGGATTTTGACTAGAAGGACTGCAGCTCTGAATCTGCCAAGAACAGTTTTTTACGGCATTCTGGGTGCTATTAGGCAACTGACTAAAAGCTCCGATATTATTCTGCTAGTCGGTGACATCAAAATGCAAGCAGGTAGGCCTAGTTCTTAAGTGGATAATTGTCTTGGATCAGACAAAAGATACATGGACAAGGAACGCCTAACGCAGTTGTCTGCTATCATAATCATTTCTTTGCGGCTCCAACTCCGGTAATGGTGGAAATCGTTTGGCCACATGGCACTCACCGAAAGACCGCAGCCGGCTGCTGTCAGTTAAAATCAGCAAGGGTCGGCCAAGGCTTGCAGCCCCTTCCAAAATAACTGTATGGACTACGACCACGAGATTGTTCACTGTCATTTTTTAGGTTCGTCAAGTCTACGAAAAAAGTGCATGCCCAGCAACCCCACTGAGAAGCCCATAGCCCCAAAATCAAACAAACCTACCATGGTCGCCTCCTCAATGTCTACTAGCTGACCGGATTCCGAATGTTGCGATTGGAGAAAGACCTCCAAAGCCATTCGCGACGCTTGAAGTTCTATTTGCGCTACAGCCCAGCCTGCTTCACACAAGAACTACATCACTCATAAAACTCTGGCTTTGAAAGATGCACGAAAGGATGGTCCCTTCGGCTGCAGCACCAACCTCGTGTGCTATCGGCTGCTAGGTGAAACCAATAGTAAGTGCGGATCGGAAAACCTGACGGAGTCGAGCAAAAATCCTGAAATTCCCCACAGGTTGCTCCGAATGATGCGTGACACAGGCCTTTGGAAAAGTCCTATCAGTGAAATCACTCGAGATCACAATAACTCTGATATCTAATAAAAAGCGTTCAGCGCGTTGGTTTGAATAGTTCAAACAATTGTTCAGTTGGTTACCCAATGCTTCCAACCGAAACCAACGGTCTCTAACAGAAATGTGAATTGCGAAGATGCGACCTTTTTGGATCTTCGAGGCACGGGGAATACATATGCCTACCCTAGCATTGCCGATGTGCTACTTGCCCTCCTTAAGGACAATTGTGAATTTCTCAGCCAGTGCCCAACTGACTTATCTGCATCTACCTGGGAGGAGTACACTGTCCCATAAAACTGGAGTTAGTCGATATGGTCTCTATCCTTAAATGAATGTGGTGGAAGGTGGTGAATGTGATCTGGATGTGTCGGCTAACCCAGATGGGAGTGAGACAGGTGAAAGTGCCTACTGAAGTGCCGGAGTTGAACGGAGACTAATCCAGGAGTTCCACCATTAAAGTGCACCATGACACAGTCCTATACTACACCTCAACAAATAAGGAACGTAGAAAGCAGTCGAACGAATGCGCACACATCAAAAGCAGATGTTCCAGTGAGCAGCAGGACCCAGAAACAAACACGGCTCACATAAAGAACTAATGATCAGAAATGACACGACCTGCAGTATGGAGACGAAATCAGGCAGAATACGAAGCACAAGTACTGTTGGATTAATTTAACGACCATCATCCGTCACGAAGAGACTGGATCTTACCGTGGTGTGACGGTTTGCGCACCTCAGCGATCCATTGAGCTATACTGGAGAGTGTCCCGCGACACTCACAGAGTCTCTCATACCAGGTTGGTCAATGGTTAGAGGTCTGACGAACACAGTCTCCTGGCCCTCCAGGTTGGGGGTTGGAACATGTGGCGACTTGTTCCGTAGAAATGGTAATGCATTTGCATTT